ATGAAGTTAAGTTTCAGCTGGCAATGTATGATCAGAAGCAGCATGCAAAGTGTTCTCAGATGCACACCTATCAGGTTTCTGTTTTCCCAGCATGTGAACACCCAGGTGTGAGCTCATACAGGGAGGAGAAGTTATATGTGACAAAGAAACTGTCACAGCACCAATCTGCAGCTGATAATGTCCTTTCTACAGGACCCCTCTGAACACTAGGCAGCACACCACCAGCCACATAGGGGCAGACAGGCCTCTCCCTGCCCTTTGGCCCCATAGAATAAGCAGCCTTCTACCTCTCACTACTTCTTCCCTGCTCACTGAAAACAGGCTGTCCTATAAATTGGCAGTGAACCTCACAGGAGGCCTAGGAAACTGTGCTCACATTAGGTCAGGAAGGTTCTTGTAATGCTTTCTCAACTTTTTTCCTTCTAGAGAGCCATGCGGTGTCATCGCAGCCAGCTCCTCTGGTTTCGCCACATCTATATGCTTTTCTCACGTTATATGATGATTAATTCACTCCGCCTTCTGTAAAAGAGATGCCGCTCACAACTTCAGGAGTAAAAGAATGAGCGAAAAAAAGACCGTTGTCAGGCCAAGGACTAAAGAAAACTCACCTGTTAACGTGCTCAAGAGGACAGGATTCTCTTTGCATAGCATTCTTTCAGACTACAAAAAACAGGCTGTAGGAACTTGCTTCTGAATATCTTGTTGTCTGATACATTGAGATTAAGAGCGTTTAACAACTACTCTATTTTCTCACTGTAGAAGCTTAAATAGGATAAGAAATTTGGATTAACCTAATAAGGAGTAAATGCAGGAGTATTCTGCATTGGAGAAGATATGGCACAAACTATTTTTCCCCAAGAGGATATAGTTGTGAGGACTGCTTGGCAACTATGACTTGGTGCATTTGTAAAATCCAAATATCAGGAGTGACTTTTCAAAGATTATGCTATGACCACAGATAAAACCAGAACTACAAGACCTGTCTTATTCAGTCAGAACTTTAAAAAGCCAAAGCTTATGAATAAAACATCAGAAATCATTCAAATTTCTCTAATTGCACTGATCTTTGCTGCTACGGCTGCTTCTTTCATACACATTGTGTTGCAGGCTCCACCTTCGCAGAGTGTCCCTCGTGAAATATGAGCATTTCTTCTTGCTTCAGAACAAGGGGGCTCAAGACCAACTCACAAGAATCTCAACAGGACATAAGAATGAGATGCAAGAGACCCAGACTGTAGCTAGGTCTTCCACAGAACACATGTGGAGATAAAAATTGCAAGAGATGTTTCAAAAGCTGCTCCACTTACGTAAATGACAAGTGCAAGAGTTAAGGATCCTCTCCCTTTACATTTAAAGGTAAGTGAAACAGCTTTCAGTGGTTTCATTTCCTAGTCTATTCAGAGATTTTACTAGTGATTTGGGTTTCTGTGGGGTCATGGTGGAGCAAAGTCAGCAATACTCAACATTTCTGTAAGCCTTTGCACTCATTAATGCGGGCTTACATCTGCAGGAGGCATCTTTCCTGGGTCTACACAGCTAGTCATTGCATAGTCAAGATCAGAGCCCAAATTGCCTGATCTGTTGCTGTGAGCACATCCTCCTCTTGAAGACAACAAACAAGTTCCTGGCTGTACTGAAGTACGTGCCCATTGTTCTAAGAGTAGGACGGTAGGAACTCTGTACCCTGGCCGTAAGTCAGTGCCTAAGCATATGCCTATTCAGCCTAAAGACCATGAGTAAGTCCAGGCTTAAGCAAAACAGTACTTAATCACATGAATAACTTCAGTGGCCCCTCTCTTGCATACAGCTAAGCACCTGTGTAAATGCTTTACTGCACTTGAGCCTATGCTTTACTGAACTTGAGCCTGATAAGCTCTTTCAAATCCCCTTTAACTCTAAATCCATAGTCAATTCATTGAAGTCAATGGAGAAAAAACAGTGTAAGTTAGTATTATGTCCTAAGCAAGAGATTATCTTATATAGGGCATTTTTATAAGCCAGACTTGAAACACAGGAAATATTCATACAAGCAAAGATTAGATTTTTTCTTTTGTACTTTGCTCTGTTTATTGTGATTTAAACGTTAGCACAGCTAAGGGCAAAGTACCAAAATAGCAGCCCTGTGGTGGTTTATGGAACAGAGGTAGTTTGAAAACTGAAAGTCACAAATGAATGGGACAGGCAGCATAGAAAGATTTATTTAAGAAACAGAGAACAGATAACAATAATGTAGAGATTGATTTTGCCAACCTTCACCCAGGAAAGCCCGGACTACAGTTCCATGGCAGTGCTCCAAGTTCAGCTGCTGGAAGGGTATGTCAGGGTTTTGACATGTCTCTGATGGTCTTATGTTCCTTCACTGCCTTCTCCCATTCCTTGCCATTGATATCCTCTGTGACAATGGTCTGCACGGTGCCATCATCCAGACAATGGGGAGCTATTCCTGAAGAAAGACAGAGTACACAGAAACCTGCTTTTCATAGGTAAAGTGTGGGAGATGCCTGCACCACTCTGTGGATGGGGAATCTCAGGGAATGATAAATGCTCAGTCCAGCTATTGCTGTAAGGCTGAGGAGCTTAGATGAGAAACCTATCATGGGCAGAAGTCCACAAGTCATAGGTAAGATTGTTGCTTATGGAGGAGCTACAGGTTCAGACTGCAGTTCCAGATGTTTAGCACTTTAGGAACAAACTCTTAAGACACATGCTGCTCACTGCTGTCATGTTAGTAGCGAATGGAGTCTTTATCCAAGGTTTGCTTGGTGGTTAGCTTTGGTTACCAGTTTACTCTTTCTACCTACCATAACCATCTGGATTAGAACGAGGAGTATAAAAGCTCTGCACACCACAGGTCTTGCAGAATGTGTGCTGGGCACAATGTGTGTTGAAGGTGTATGTTGTCAAATTATCAGCACCCTAAACAAATGAAAAGCAATGTAAGTTTTCCACATAAATAGACATATTAATTACTTTCTGTGGGCCTGTAGCTAAGAAATGTAAAATTTAAAATACCACCTTCATGTGTTTACTTGACATACAGAGTTCTGCATTCATGCTCCTTTTCTGAACCCCTGTGCTTTGCATATACATGTGTCCATTCCAGTGAGAACTGCAAGAGCTCTAACATCAGCTCACTAAATAAGATGCACTAACACACCCACACCAGACTGCATAAAATTCATCCATTTCCCCCAACCAGCCATAGACAAACTTCATGGCCATGCTCTTACTGCATTCTTACTCTACCTTCAGCAGCTTGAAACGCGACGCTGGGACAATGAAGTGTCTGTTCTGTTTCTTTGTGCAAATGCTGCAACTGTAAAAGAAAATGCAGACCTTTCCAGAAGCAGCGGACAAGTTGTAGTACAGCAATCAGATCTAGCATGGACTCTTGACAACAGAAATTCCACTGACAGCTAAAATGGCTCCTGGTTAGCACCACAGAGGTAAGCAGCAAAAGTGGACTCGTGATATCAGTAGTGTTTGGATAAGCACACCCATGGAACAGACTGGCGCTACACACGTACACCGATAAGATATTCTCTGACACCAAACATTATATGCCATTTTTTCTTCACATATACAACTCTAAACAGACATAACAAGGACAAACTCTGAGAAATCCATTTAATCTTTCAGACTAGACTTTGCCAATTTTGCCAACATTACCTTGCAAACAAGAAAGTAAGATTTAGAAGTTTACCGACGAGCTAGAAGCAAACTAGTTGCAGGCGAAGGGGGATCACTATTGAAATCAGACACTGTTGTAGTTTGAAGCACATGTGGTCAGAGATGTAATGTTCACTTGAGAAGGACAAGTTAAAAAAGGATTGATGTGCTTTGAGCACACTGCACTTAGCAGAAACAAAAAGCAGATGGCTGAGCACCTGTACTCATTAGATCTCTCCTGACACTTTCTGCATGAGCATGGATGTGAGACCCGAAGTCCTGCCCAAAGAAGCAGTCCCTGAAATCACCAGCACTGATCCCATATTGAATCAGGACATAATTAGGGGTATACCCCATGGAAACAGCTCAGAGGATGTTTGGCAGTTGTGTCATCTTCTTTTAGCTCCAAGGTATTGATTGGAAAAGCATAGGAGCTTTTATTCATCTATGAGAATAGGCAACAAAAAAAAACTCACTTGCAGTTAAAAACATGCAGATCTGCTGAAGCCCAGACCTCAAAGCGGACAGCTCCGCAGTGGCAGCCTCCTGTGTGTTTGACCAAACCTCTGTATTCACTAGAGAGAGAAACAACAGAGAGGTTTTGTGATCATACTTCTTTTTTTTGGCCAAGAAAACAGTAAGGCTATATACTACATTATTCAATTCTGCTTTGAGCAATTGCAGAACACCAGAAAATGTATCCACTCAAATTTATTTTCATAAAATGTGCCAGAGGGAGATAGAGAATGGCTTTTGTCCTCTGCAGCAATAGCTTTTCTGGTTTAATTAAAATGGTGAAAAGGAAAGAAGAGCAACAGCTCAAGTAAAGTACACTCTGCATGCAATATAAAACATATGCTCCCCTGCCACAGTCCAGGTCAAAATGCTGATCCAGGCTACAGCATTACCCATGCACAACAGTACGTAGAAACGAGTGGTATTATCACAAGACAACTGGGAACTGAATTTTCCCACAGTTTTCCCACAACTGCTCCAGCACTACTAATATTCCTCTGTTTAAAAGCTGGGAAAAGCAGAGATAAGTGGATTCTACATAATATTTGAAATGCATTTTAGTTTGTATTGTAATTGCAGAGGAACTTCATCAAGGAATTTCTGAGCTTGTGCTTCTCCCTCTCCCCTAGAACGCCTCCATAGCAACTGGGCAGAATCACCATGCTAGGTCAAATGCAAAATGCAAAGGAAAAACCTTTTCCTTTCAGATTTTCACTCCCACAGACAGTTACTGATTACAGTCCGGTGATGATGTGCTGTGCTCTGCAAAGAAAGAGCACAGCAAATGGGTGGAGATTTAGAAGCTGAGCCTCACAGATCCCACACGGTGCATTTTTGATGGGAGAGCCCTGAAACACAGGAAGCTTTAGCATAAAAAGCCACTTTCTC